TATTCCACAGTGACCTTCTTTTACCAGTTCTCAATTTTATTTAGGATTCAAATTAACACCAACCAAACGTATCACTAAATCACTTATTTTCACGTTTTCAAAGTTGGATTGCGCTGCAAATCCATACATTTGTGCTCACTACACATTATTTTTTTATTACATTCATTGAGAGGCTCCAAAGCATCAGTCCAATAAACATTTTTCCAGTCCGATAACCATCCTTCATAAGAACTAAGAGGTAAAATTATTCACACAGCTCTTTTTTCCCTTTGATCCTTAGCTCATAAGCTTTTGAGCAAACGCCAATGTTTTTGCCAGTTCGTGTTGTCTGTGCCTTATCACAGGTCACATGTCTACAGAACACGGTATTCAATGACTTTGCTTCCTTGGTCCCAAGCAAAGGTGTTGACAGATTCCATAGTTTGGTAAAATGAGTGAGTCTGCAACTGTGGAAGGCATTTGTTTTTAGCAATGAATCGCATTACATTGTACCTAACTTCTCAAGCACAATCTGATATTAGGATGATGAAGATAATTCTTAAAAACTCTTTATACCAGATTATTTTTAAAAATCCACATACTTTTCTACTTAACATAGATGTTGTAGGGTGAAGAGCCTGTGAGGCTTGTTTGGCACTCCTGCTTCATTTATTAATTTCTCCATGCAAACAAGACATTTAGGCTGAGAAAGAGAACCAGCAAAAATCCAGATGAGCTGGGCACAGTGGTTCATGCCTGTAATCCCAGAACTTAGGGAGGCAGAGGTGGGAGGAGGGAGGAGTGCTTGAGCCCAGGGGTTCAAGACTAGCCTGGGCAACATAGCAAGACTGTTCTCCACAAAAAGGGAGAAAAAGAAATCCATATGAACCCAAATTTGAGGCAGGTGCTATATTGCCTAATTAGTGGCCATTTGGGTTTTTTGACCAGTGGTTTTGTGAGTTTGATGATATTCTGGACTTAGTAAAAATGTGAGAAAGTAAATAACTGTAAAAATTAAATGGATTCCTGGACAGTGGGAAAAACGGGGCAATCTCAATAGGCCTGTGGTTTAGTTAACAGCAATGCAACAATGTTAATTTCTTTGTTTTGATGTTGACATGGGGGAAGGTGAGGGTCCATGGAAACCCTGTACCATCTCTGCAACTCTTCTGCAAATCAAAAATTACTTCAAAATAAAAAGCTACACAACCAAATTATTAAATATAAACTACTCAAGGATACTGCAAAGGCTTTATGGGCTCAGAAAGTGGATAAGAGAAATATGAAGGCCTCAGAAATCTTCAAAATTTTTTAAAACAAATTCCACTGAAAAACTCAAAAAATGAAGTACGCGGCTTACAAAAATAGAAAAAATGAAAATACTTTAATTCATTAAAACTCTGAAAAAATTCAAGTACAAATGACTTGCTCTCATAAGTTCTTTTGTTTAAACTGATTTTCTGAAGCCCCAAAGGCATATAATCTGCTTTAATGAATTCATTTAAATAAACTATTTTAAATTAGGTTCAATTGTTGTTTTGAAAATAAATGTTAAACATTTATTCAGCACAAAGTGGTCTATTAAAAAAAATTTTAAAATAGGCTAGGCGCAGTGGCTCACCCCTGTAATCCCTGCACTTTGGGAGGCTGAGGTGGGTGGATCACAAGGTCAGGAGTTCAAGACAAGCCTGACCAACATGGTGAAACTCCGCCTCTACTAAAAATACCAAAAAAATATTTAGCTGGGCACGGTGGCGTGTGCCTGTAATCCCAGCTACTCAGGAGGCTGAGGCAGGAGAATCGCTTGAACCTGGGAGGCGGAGGTTGCAGTGAGCCGAGATCCGGCCACTGGCCTGGGCGACTCCGTCTCAAAAAAAAAAAAAAAAAAAAAAAGGGCCGGGCGCGGTGGCTCACGCCTGTAATTCCAGCACTTTGGGAGGCCGAGGCGGGCGGATCACAAGGTCAGGAGCTCTAGACCATCCTGGCTAACATGGTGAAACCCCGTCTCTACTAAAAACACAAAAAAATTAGCCGGGCTTGGTGGTGCACGCCTGTAGTCCCAGCTACTCGGGAGGCTGAGGCAGGAGAATGGCGGGAGCCTGGGAGGCGGAGCTTGCGGTGAGCCGAGATCGCGCCACTGCACTCCAGCCCGGGAGACAGAGTGAAACTCCGTCTCAAAAAAAAAAAAAAAAAACTAAATAAATGTTTGAATGTTTCTAAAAACAAATAAGAATTCATTATGCAATTTTATCAAATGTTGGCTTTTTTTTTTTTTTTTTTTTTTTTTTTTTTAACAAAGAATAGCTACTCCATAGGCAGAGCAGCCACTTTTGGCTAATTTTTTTTTTTTTTTTTTTTTTTTTTTGAGACGGAGTCATGCTCTGTCGCCCAGGCTGGAGTGCAGTGGCCGGATCTCAGCTCACTGCAAGCTCTGCCTCCCGGGTTCACGCCATTCTCCTGCCTCAGCCTCCCAAGTAGCTGGGACTACAGGCGCCCGCCACTTCGCCCGGCTAGTTTTTTGTATTTTTTAGTAGAGACGGCGTTTCACCGTGTTAGCCAGGATGGTCTCGATCTCCTGACCTCGTGATCCGCCCGTCTCGGCCTCCCAAAGTGCTGGGATTACAGGCTTGAGCCACCGTGCCCGGCCGCTTTTGGCTAATTTTTAACATCCAAAGCTAATAAATAATCAAGAAGAAATAGAGAACATTAACAAAATAAATTATGTTCTATTTGGGAATGCCTAATATCAGATAATAACAAGTATAGTGATAAGAATAAAAAAGATAATAATCACACATACCTTCAGGTTAGAAAAGTTAGGAAAAGAGATTAAATTTAAAGAAACAACATTTTGCATGCACACAAAAAACAAAGAACTTCGCTCATGATGTGGAAATCATGAGCCAGCAGCAATCCGTCTTCCTGGTCCAGATCACTGCAAGGCCAGGGTGGGGCCCCCCGGGGCAGCCACGCAGAACCTACTGGACTTAACTCGCCAGAAAAGTCACCACCCAGTTCAGGAAGTTTGCAGAGGGAAACCTACAAATGGTCCTCGGATATGACTTCCCTGCTCCTGGAGGGCTCCCTCTGGAAGAGGCTTGCAGCATTCCAGTCATAGAATGTGGGTGAGCACTGCAGCGGGCAGCCTCCCACACCTGCTTGGCTGTAGGCCCAGGAAGCCCCCGGAGGCCCCTGGCTGAAGAGATCAGACTCAGCTTGGAGCCCTGGAGTTGATGCAGCAAGACCATGTTTAATGAACACCAAAGCTGGCGGTACAGATGAGGGCCTTGGGGACTCAGGCGGGGGCCTGGAGGGCTACGGTGGGCTGTGAGATGAGTGGCGACTTCCCTCCCATACCTCTCCCGGAGAGAGGGATTCACCCTGTCCCCCTGCGAGCCTCTCAACAGTCCTGTGAGGAGGACAGCAGGGCATGGGGACTGGCCCCATTTCACAGTTGGGGAAACTGAGTTCCAGATGGGTTTGTCAGCTTGCCCAAAGCCACGCAGGGTTCCCGGTCCTTCCTCCTGCACCACTATGGGCCCAGTCAGAGGCTACGTGAGCAGATGGTCAGGGGAGGCTGAAGCCTCATGGGAGGAGCAGGCAACGGTGTGGGGATGGACAGTGGCACAGTGCAGGGGACTCCAAGTGGCACTGGCTGGAGACCAGCAGGGACGGAAGTAGGGGCAGGACTGCTGGTACCTGTATCTGTGACCCAGGCCTCCATGGTCCCAGAACAGCCACTCGGGCCTCCACTTCTCCCTTCTCCCCTCCGTGGTGGCCAGACCCTCAATACCAGCTGAAGGAGGTCACAGGGCACGGAGGGAGGTCACAAGGCAGGGGGCTGCCCCCTACAGTGCCCAGAGGCAAGGCCTCCCTTGGCACCTACCTGTGTCTGGCCAGTGCAGGGCTTAGGCAGGGCAGGGGCCCAGGGGCCCAAAGGCTGTAAGATGAGAGAAAACCCTGACACGTGGCCAGCCACAGCACCACAAGAAGGACAGAGGGGGGACATGCATCCATGCAAGGTGGCCAAGTAGGTACTGGGTGGCCAGGGCCTGGGGAGGGCGCAGGGCCTGGTGCAGAGAAGCAGCTGGGGATGAACTGAGATGAGCATGCCACAAAGAGGGGCTTGGGCGTGACCTTGGGCCCCAGGTCACTGCAATGACAAAGAGGTGAAATGGGCAGCTGCAGAGGCTACAAGAACTCAAGGAGGCCTGGGCTGGAACGGAGAGGGGCTGAGAAGTCCCCTGGGTCCAGGCTTCTCTGGGCAGACCCCTGGAAATCGAGCTTGCTGGTCTGGGTCGGTCCCTGAGGGCCTCTCCCGGGGCCACCTCTTCAGATGGGAACACGCAGGGAGGCCCAGCAAAAGCTTCAGGCTCTGCAGAAACACGAGGACATGTGACATTCCCTCCAGCTCCCACCCTCCCTGGGGGTGGAGCCCAGCACAAATCCCACCCTCCTCCTCCCACCCAGCAGTTCCCAAACGCAGCCCAGGGGAGCCTCAGAGCCGGCCAAGCAGGGTTACTGAGAGAGGTGGCCCAGGAGGCCTGGGGAGGGAACTGGGGCAAAGGCCCGGGACAGGAGGTGGGATCCGCCAGGGGGCAGGCCCAAGGGTGCCAGTCTCTTCTCAGGATCTACTCTGGGATTCAGTCGCCAGTCAGCCAGGCTGCAGGGCCCTGCTCGGGAGGGTGCGATGCTACGCAGCACCAGCAGGGGGCACCACAAGCCCACCCTCAGCTGCACGTTCCCGCTGCCATTCCACTCCCACCCCCGGGGCTCAGGCTGCATAGAGAAGCTCAGGGGCAGCAAGACCCAGACACTCCCAAGGCCTTGGGCTAAGGAAGCCTCCAAGGAGGAGGAAGGTACTTCCTATGCCAGCTCTGGGTGGGGCTGGGGGCACTGCAGCCCCTCCAGCTCTGACCCAGATGCAGGTGGACTGGGGAAGCCCAGCCCAAACCCCAGGTAGAGGCAGCAGCAGGTCCAGGCAACGCCAGGCTCGGCCACGGGGCCCTGCTGTCCCCCAACCCTGCCCACCACATGGGGGGTCTCATCTGCTCTCTGCTGCCCAAGGTGGCAGCCCAGCCTTGGCCCACCACCCCACCGCGGCTCAGTCACCGTGGCATAGGCTGTCACTGGGTGTCAGGGTCCTGGAAGCCCCAGGCCTCCACAGCAGCGATGAGGAAGTTCTCGGAGCAGAGGGGCTGGTTGTTGAAGGTGTCACAGTGGCTTGTGCGGCCCCGGTTCAGGTCCCCATCAATGTAGAGCGCCTGGCCACCTCCTCCCCCTGCAGGATGCTCAGGTCAGTTGCGGTCTGACTGCCCCATCAGCACTGCCCCAGGCACCTCACCTGCTGTCCCAGCTGTCCTGCCCTGCACAGGCCTCTCTGAAACCGCACAGACCCTTGACCCTCCATAGCCCCCAGGACTAGCTGTCCAGGCTGGTCGCTCCCTCCCAGCTCCCTCTCACCCATCGTGCCTGGTCCACCCCGACACCCAGGGCCTCTTCTCTGCCACCCCGGTCAGGGAGGGCTGGGTGCAGCAGCTTCAGCTGCCCGGACCCCCACACCCTCATCCCAGGGCCCCGTCTGCTGGCACTCACCCACGATGAGGCAGTCGCTGCCCCCTGCCATGAACATGGACTCGGTCTTGGAGGGCAGGTTGAAGTGGCGAGCAGCCAGGAAGGGCGAGAGGCGGTCGGCAGGGTCTGAGGAGGCGGAGTGGCTGAGCGGGGCGGTGGGCTCGGCAGCCGTCAAGGGTGGGGGCTTGGTCAGCTCAGGGTGCTTGATCACCACCCACTCGTAGCGCTGCACCTCAGGCTGCAGCTGGGGTGGAAGCAGAGCATGAGGAGCTGGTGCAGGCACTTGCAGGACCCTCTGCCCCAGAGCCACAGCCTGTTTCATCCCCCGAATCTGCACCCAGAGCCCAAGGTGGGTGCAGCCCGAGCCAGGGGCTGGGGAGGTGGTGGCTCGAGCAGATAAGCCCCCCTGCCTCGGAGCAGCGCGCAGCTGAAAGATCAAACCCAAAGCACACATGGCGATGACGCTGCTGGGTGACTGCCATGGTGACATCAAACAGTGTCCCCAGGGCAGGCGGGTGCTCCCAGAGCAATGCAGCTACAGGGTCTGCATGGGGGTTGGGGGGCACTTGGCCCCACTCACCCTAAACACAAAGCATTCTCCGGTCCCAAAGAAGCCCAGTTTGCCTCCAAACTTATTTCTCTCACTCCAGTCTGTGGACAGGTAAGCACCACACACCTGGGGGAAAGGTCTGGGTGAGGCTGTGCCCACAGGCCCCCAGGAGCGTCCCTGTGCTCCAGCCTACTCCAGCCCCACCAAGTCACAGGTGGGGGTGCAGGCATTGCCGTCTCCCAGCCCCACCCCAGGGCAGGGGTTGTGTAGGCAAGGCAGCGTGCGTGCACCCTGCCCCTGGCTTGGGGCTGGCAATAAGGGTGGGTGGGGGCTGTGTTGGGGATAGTCTTATTTCCCCTTGTGACCCTGAGCGTGGGATGAGCCCCATGTGCTGGCCACACCCACGCTCTACCTCTGGCTCCAGCCAAGGAGGCCTAGGCTCCGGAGCCCATCAGAGCCAGCCCTGGCTCCCGGGTCCGTGCTCACCTCCTTCTGCGTGGTCTTGATGAGCAAGAGGGTAGGCTCATGTCCTTCACACTGGAAGTAGAACCTGGTGTAGAGACACGCATGCCAGCTGTCACCCTGCACACCCTCCCAGCTGCCTCCTGCAGCCTCCACTGGCCCCGGCTGTCTTGGGGCGGAAGACCTGGGAACTGTGCTTCCTTCTCTCTGGGTCCCGACAACACCCTCACCCAGGTGTTCTTCTCACCTGGCCCTTTTCTGCCATCCCCAGGACAGCCTGCCCTGGTGTGACTCAGGGGAGAGGCCTGCAGCGGAAGGCCCCAGTGCAGAGCCAAGCGCCAGGGGCTGGGGAAGTAGGAACCAGAGGAACAGGTCCCCGCGGTGGGGAGGTTTGGCTCATCCTCGCAGCCCAGGCACGTGGGAGCCAAAGATGCCCGTGTCTGCCAATGTGGCACCCAAAGCTTGGCTTGTGTCCTTGGCAGGGCCAGGAGAAGTGGCTCCAGCTATGCCAAAAAGCTTGAGGCGTTGTGAACCTGTGAACGGTGCCGGGTGGGGGCTGGACCAGCTCTGCCTACCTCACCTCCAGGTCATCCCAGGCCCAACCCAGAGCTCCCACGGCCACATGCTGTCCAAGGCTGGAGGGAGGCTCCCTGGCTGCACCTGGCAGCGCCACCCTGGAGGGCAGCAGGCCTGGGGTCCCTGACAGAGCACCATGTCGATGACAGGGTGGGGAGCGAGCACAGCCGGGACCTGCCACGCACATGGTCCCCCAACCAAGACAATGCTGTGAGCTCCGAGGTGGGGATTCTGCCTCCCACATCTTCATGACACCTGCACGGCCCCAAGCTGTGGCATGCCTGGCCATGACTCCCAAAGTCTGGGTGGCCTGGGGAGGGCAGAAGCCCAGAAAAGGACCCTGATTCTTAGGCCCCACAGGAAGAAGCAGGGCCTCACCAGGTGCCCAGGTTTGAGGCCCATTTCCAGCCTCTGTGGGCAAGACATGTGGCTGGGCAGCTCTGCCGCCCGCTCTGGCCCCTTGGGGTGTTACCTGGCCAGGCTGTACCCATGCTGCAGGGAGGAGAACAGCAGGAGGGGCTGGCATAGGGCAAAGCGCTCGGGGACCCAGGACCAGATGTCTCTCATCTCCCTCACGCTGACGATCTCTGAGCGGAAGTTCTCTGCATGGACGGCCAAGTGTACAAACTGCCTGAGGGGAGCAAGCAGGGGTCAGAGCCTGAAGCCACATCCGGGACCAGGCCATGTCTCCCAAGGTATGCCCCAGAGCCTCTTTGGAACTAAGCCCAGAGGGAACTTCTTGCCTGCTTGCCCCGGTTTAGGGCCGGGTTCTAGGTGCCCAACAGGGAGAAAGTTCCCAGGAGCCCCACCTCCCACCCGTTACAGAAGGGAGAGTGCCCAGCTTGGATGGGGACAATGCACCTTTTCTGTAAGAAATCAGGACAGAGAATGACTGCTCTGGCAAGACAAGGCTTCGGGGTGAGCCAAGCACCAGGAGATAGCATGACAGAGGCAGACAGGCAGGGAGGCAGGCAGACGCACAGACAGAGCAGCAGTCCGGCTCAGAGGCCGCACTGCCGAAGCCAGCCCGCGAGAGCAGCCCTGGGACCCAGAGCATCAGCTGGCCTAGAGTCAGCCTGGTGGAAAGACAGAGGCCAGGTGTGCGGATGCAGTTTCAGACCTACCTTTTAGAAAGGGACACACTGAAAAACAGGAGAAAGCAACGGACATGGAGAAGAAAAATAAAACAGACAAGGAGAAGTTAGTGTGAGTACCGATCCCCTGACAGGCCTTTGCTGGCCCAGAAGAAAGAGGACTGCACGTCAACAGACCGCAGAGTGGCACCACCACAGCGCCGGCTGCCAAATGCACATAGGACACCATGAACCCCTGACCCTGCTCCCCTGGGGCTGTGCTCCAGGCAGGGAGGCCACGCCCAGCAACCACAGCAGAGACCAGCCATGGAGCCCAGAGCTGGAGGGGTGGAACAGGGGCTGCCCTGAAATAACCCTGGGAGTGGGCCTGGCCTCCCGCGATGCCTTCTGACCCCGTGGCCAGCATCAGCTTTCATCTCAGCCGCGGGCCTGGTCCCAGAGGATAGGAACCGATGTCCCTCGTCTGTGGCTGTAACTGGGAAGATCCTTCCTGTTTCAGTGTCTTTCCAGCCATGCACAGATGGGTGGGTGGACCATGGGCAGAGGCCGCCTGGAGGCCAGCAGGATGAGCTCATGCCGGACACGTCCTGCCCCAGCCCCCTACCCTGGGCGTGCCCCTCACTGGCTGCCGGGGACCTACCTCTTCTGCTTCACAGTGATGCCCTTCTGCTTCAGGGCTTTCTCGTTGGCCATCTGCAGGAGCTGGATCTCCTTGCGGGAGAAGAGGCGGATGGCGAACGCTTTCTCCAGCAGCTTCTCCGGGGACACTGTCTTGGCGATGTGTTTGACGAACGTGCGGATGTCCTGCTTCACGCTGTCCGACTCCAGGGGCTGCCCGGCCCTCACCTTGTGGAAGAACTTGAGGATGGCCAGCGCCACGCGGTACAGCACCTTGTAGCCCTCCACCAGAAAGACGTCAAAGACCCGGGCGAAGTAGCAGAGGGGCAGCTCCCCAAACAGCCAGCGCTGCCAGTCCGCATAGACCTGCAGGACGTCCTCTGACACGGCCACCATCAGCTTGTGGGCCGCCTGGCAGTACTTGTTCACCAGGTCCCCAAACGTCATGCAGGACGACTCAAAGGCCAGGAAGCTCTGGTCGATCAGCCTCCTGCCGGGGTCGTTGCAGGCCAGGATGCGGCAGGCCTTCTCGAAGCACTCGGCTTCGTCAATGCTGTAGTGCAGCAGCAGGGCCACCACGGCCGGCAGGGCGGGGCAGAAGGAGATGTCGGGGAACTGGTTGGCGATGCACAGGAGGATCTTGCGCACGGCCCCCTCACCGCGCGCATTCAGGCAGTAGCTGGGCACCTGCGTGTTGTCCACGAACTCGGGCAGCGGCAGGTAGCTGCTGCTGTGCTTGCCCACGATCTTGCCCACGATGTCGCTGTACACGCTGGCGTCGGGCGTGACTGTGCGGCAGGGAATGTCCCGGATCAGGCGCTGGTACACCTTTCCCCGCAGGGCGTGGCTTTGGGCCCAGTAGCCCTGGCGCGCCAGCTGCTTCAGTTCCTGCAGTTCAGTGCAGCTCAGCTCCTTGGGCCCCAGGTCCTGGATGGCAGCGTCCATCTTGTCTCTGTCCACGAAGCAGTTGTATCCCGGAGAGTCCATAGTGCCCCTGTGCTAGGGAGGAAGCCCTGCGCTGCAGGGAGGGGAGGACAGAGCGGCTAAATCCTCCAGCCCCCTTTCTGAGGGTGTTCAGCAAACCTGTCTGCCATCTCACACTCTGCAGGATTAAAAACAACATTTTTTGCATCTGTGTTTCAAGGTTCACATTTCAAAGAATGTATTTTTTCAAATGTGGTGTTTTCTTTTCTTTTCTTTTCTTTTTTTTTTTTGAGACGGAGTCTCGCTCTGTTGCCCAGGCTGGAGTGCAGTGGCGCGATCTCCGCTCACTGCAAGCTCCGCCTCCTGGCTTCACACCATTCTCCTGCCTCAGCCTCCTGAGTAACGGGGACTACAGGCGCCCGCCACCTCGCCCGGCTAATTTTTGTATTTTTAGTAGAGATGGGGTTTCACTGTGTTAGCCAGGATGGTCTCAATCTCCTAACCTCATGATCCGCCTGCCTCAGCCTCCCAAAGTGCTGGGATTACAGGCGTGAGCCACCACGCCCGGCCTGTTTTCTTTTCTTTTGAGACAGGGTCTCACTCTATGGCCCAGGTTGGAGGGTGGTGCAGTGGCGTGACCTTGCTCTCTGCAGCTTTGAATGGCTTGAACAATCTTCCTGCCTCAGCCTCCCGAGTAGCTGGGACGACAGGTGTCCACCACCGTGCCCAGCTAATTTTTTTTTTTTTTGAGGTGGAGTCTCACCCTGTCACCCAGGCTGGCGTACAGTGTCACGATCTCCACTCACTGCAACCTCTGAGCCCCTGGTTCAAGCGATTCTCCTGACTCAGCCTTCTGAGTAGCTGGGACTATAGGCATGTACCACCATGCCTGGCTAATTGTTTTGTATTTTTAGTAGAGACAGGGTTTCACCATGTTGGCCAGGCTGGTCTCAAACTCCTGACCTCGTGATCTGCCCACCTTGGCCTCCCAAAGTGTGGGATTACAGACGAGAGGCACTGCCCTGGCCTAATTTTTTATTTTTTTGTAGAGATGGGGTCTCACTATGCCCTCCAGGCTGGTCTTGAACTCCTGGGCTCAAGCAATCATCCTGTCTTGGCCTCTAAAAATGTTGGGATTACAGGTATGAGCCACTGTGCCTGGCCTTGTTTTATTTGGTTTGAGACAAGATCTTGCGTTGACATCCAGGCTAGAGTGCAATGGCACCATCTCGGCGCACTGCAACCTCTGCCTCCTGGGCTCAGGTGATCCTCTCACCTCAGCTGTAGCTGGGACTACAGTTAGGCGCCACCATGTCCAGCTAATTTTTTCTCTTTTTAGTAGAGACGAGATTTTGCCATGTTACCCAAGCTGGTCTTGAACTCCTGACCTCAAGCAATCCACCCACCGCAGCCTCCCAAAGTGCTGGGATTACAAGTGTGAGCCAGTGCACCTGGCCTGTTTTCTTTATTATTATTATTATTTGTGTGTGTCTGTGTGTGTGTGTGTGTGATGGGGTCTTGTTCTGTTTCCCAGGCTGGCCTTGAACCGCAGGCCTCAAGTGATCTTCCCACCATGCTGGAATTACAAGTGAGAGTCATGGTACCCAGCCACATTATTTGTCTTAATCTTTGTGTAAGTATTAGAAGGGCTTCCACTTAAGACAGGTGACTGTTCTGAGAAGCCATTACAAACTTTGGAGTATACCTTCTTTTCACAGAACTTATGAAGTTACCGGAATAGGTCACACAGATTCTGAGTAATGAGAGGCTACAGATAGAGTTTCTATAAGGGTTTCAAGAGCTTGGCCCTTGGTTGGGCACAGTGGCCCATATCTATAATCCCAGCTACTCAGGAGGCCAAGGTGGGAGGACTATTTGAGGCCAGGAGTTCAAGACCAGCCTGGGCAACATGGTGAGACCCCATCTCTACCAAAAAAAGGGCCTGACCCTGCTGAAAATACCTCCCCGCTCCAGCATGGTCCACCCCAGGCTCCCAAACACCACCCTGCACCCTGGGGTCCTTCTGAAAGGGACCCCCAGTAGAAGATCACTTTGAGCAAAGAGATGCTTCGTTCTAGTTCTCTTTTTTTTTTTTTTTTGAGACGGAGTCTTGCACTGTCGCCCAGGTTGGAGTGCAGTGGCGTGATCTCGGTTCACTGCAACTTCCGCCTCCCGGGCTCAAGCGATTCTCCTGCCTCAGCCTCCTGAGTAGCTGGGATTACAGGAACCCGCCACCACGCCCGGCTAGTTTTTGTATTTTTAGTAGAGATGGGGTTTCACCATGTTGTCCAGGCTGGTCTTGATCTCCTGATCTCGTGATCCATCCGCCTCAGCCTCCCAAAGTGCTAGGATGACAGGCGTGAGCCACCGCGCCCAGCCCGTTCCCAGTTCTCTTTAACCAGCTGTGCGTGGTAAGAAAGTCACAGCCTATGCTGTCTCACCCTGTCGGAATTCTGAAGCCAGCTCTTAACTTTCTAAAACCACCAGCTTGAAAGCTATGCTTCGGGCAGGTGCTCCAGGGAGGAATCTCTGGTGAGGAGCAGGCATGTTTCCAGAGGGAGAGCTGGGACCTAAATGGAAGGTGCTGCAGCTTTAAAACTGCATATTTCTGGATCCAAATGAGCCAGAAGTCAAGTGGGGTGGTTGGTGTTTCTCCAAGAACAGCAACCCTTGGGCTCAGGCAAACATAAAAGGAGTGGGTAAGATGTGCCCTGTGGGATTCTGGACAACAGGTGACTTCCCTGGCGCAAGGCTACTGTCCTGGGCACAGAAGTGCAAGGTTTGCTTATGCACATCAGACTAACCTTTCCGCCTGGGATGGTACAAGTTCCCGGAGTGCCACAGGGGTCTGCTTCAGCAAGTTTTGGTTAAGTGACCGGACCACTCTGGTTTCTCTTGCAGCTAGAACATTCACCTACCTATTATAAGGCAAATACTACTTTAAAACAGTTCGTGAAAGGTAAAAATCATAGTATAAAACCTATGTCTGTGAGACACTGTCTTGGGAAAGTACCTCGATACTGTGTTTCTGTGTGTGTGGTAAAATACACATAGCATAAAATTAACCATTTTAGGCCAGGCACAGTGGCTCACACCTGTAATCCTAGCACTTTGAGAGGCCGAGGCAGGCAGATCACGAGGTCAGGAGATCGAGACCATCCTGGCTAACACGGTGAAACCCCGTCTCTACTAAAAATACAAAATAATTAGCCGGGTGCGGTGGTGGGCACCTGTAGTCCCAGCTACTAGGGAGGCTGAGGCAGGAGAATGGCATGAACCTGGGAGGCAGAGCTTGCAGTGAGCTGAGATCGCGCCACTGCACTCCAGCCCAGGCGTCAGAGCAAGACTCTGTCTCAAAAAACTAAAAAATAAAAAAAAATTTACCATTGTAGCCATTTTTTATTTCTTTATTTTTTGACACAGAGTGCCGCACTGTCATCCAGGCTGGAGTGCAGTGGCGCAATCTCAGCTCACTGCAACCTCTGCCTCCCTGGGTTCAAGCGATTCCCCTGCCTCAGCCTCCTGAGTAGCTGGGACTACAGGCATTTGCCACCACTCCCGGCTAATGTTGTATTTTTAATAGAGACGGTTTCTCCATGTTGGTCAAGCTCGTCTCGAACTCCCGACCTCAGGTGATCCGCCTGCTTCAGCCTCCCAAAGTGCTGAGATTACAAGTATGAGCCACTGAAGTTGATTTTAATATATCCCACTGGAAAAACCTTGCCTACAGCAGGACTAGGCCTCAGAAGAAAAGAAACCCTTAAGACCATTGATTGGTTTGCTTTGTCCTGGGAGGGAAGGCGGCGAGGGCTCCCCCCTTCCCTGGTCCTGAAGGCCAGGCCGACAGGTCCACTCACATGCACACGGCCATGCTCACACTGCACGATCTTCCATGTGTCGGTTATCCACAGCTTACATCCCTCCTTCCCGGCTCTGGGCCCACTAGCCTCTGGAGGAACTCCAGGCCCATCCTGTTTGGGTGAAAGAACTGGCTCCTTCTTAAGGCAATAAACATGTTTCTAAACAGAACAGGAGCTGGGCAGAGCAGCACCAGCCTCCATTCAGCTGGCCCCAGATTCAGGTTGAATATTAAACTGGAAACAGCAAAAGTTGTGACTGCACCTCGCAAAGTTCCCTCAGGGAGATGCAGATCCCAAGTTGTGTTTGCTGCCGCGAATGGTCCAGCAATGTGCTGGACTCAGAGGGACACCCGAGCCAAGGACATGTGCAGAAGACCCCGAGGGAGCCCTTGGATTCTTTCTTGTTCCCCAATCCCTCACTCAAAAAAGAGAGCAGCACGACATTTCTGGGGCTGTGCACACAAGGCAACAAACCATTTAAGGCATCTATAAAAACCAGGTCCAGGCTGGGCGCGGTGGCTCACGCCTGTAATCCCAGCACTTTGGGAGGCCGAGGCGGGCAGATCTCGAGGTCAGGAGATCAAGACCATCCTGGCTAACATGGTGAAACCCCGTCTCTACTAAAAATGCAAACAATTAGCCTGGCGTGGCAGTAGGCGCCTGTAGTCCCTGCTACTTGGGAGGCTGAGGCAGGAGAACAGCGTGAACCCGGGAGGCGGAGCTTGCAGTGATCCAAGATCGCGCCACTGCCCTCCAGCCTGGGTGACTGAGATTCCATCTCAAAAAACAACAACAACAACAACAAAAAAAACAAACAACAAAACAAAACAAAACAAAAACCAGGTCCAGGCCAGCACAGTGGCTCACATCTATAATCCCAGCACTTTGGGAGGCCAAGGCGGGTGGATCACTTCAGCCCAGGAGTTCAAGACCAGCCTGGGCAACATAATGAGACCTCATCTCTGCCGAAAAAAAAAAAAAAAAAACAATGGCCAGGCATGGTGGCATACACCACTAATCCCAGCTATTTGGGAGGCTGAGTGGGGAGGATCTTTTGAGGCCAAGCCCAGGAGTTCAAGACTAGCGCACACAACATGGCAAAACTCCATCTCTGTAAAAAAAATACAAAAATTAGCCAGGCGGGCCAGGCACGGTGGCTCACGCCTGTAATCCCAGCACTTTGGGAGGCCGAGGCAGGTGGATCACAAGGCTAGGAGTTTGAGACCAGCCTGACCAGCAGGTAAAATCCCGTCTCTACTAAAAATACAAAAAATTAGCTGGGCATGGTGGCACATTCCTGTAGTCCCAGCTACTTGGG